ACCCTGGCACCACTGGCACTTTGGACCAGCCGTGGGCAGGATGCTCAGGGGGCAGCAGCTCAGCTTCCCCCAGGCCTGGGGAGGGCAGTGGGAGAGATGCTGGGCAGGATGGAGCAAGGGGCCCTCAGCCTCCCCTGCTCTCACCCCCGCCAGCGTCAATCTGGAGTGACTCTGTTTACACAGCTGGAGTTGAATCCGGATTCAAAAGGTGGAGGCAGCCAGGCCGCAGCGGCGTGGGGAAGGGAACTTGGCCTCCAAGGAGTCTCCACACCCCCTCCGTGCTGTTGCCCACGGAGCAGGCTGGGCAATGCCCTGGGACCCCAGGAGCGGAGGCTCTGACCTGTCTGTGCCAGGCTGCGAGGCTGACTCCAGTCCGACCGGATCCTTCTTCTGGGGCTGATCCCTGTGCCCCCCCCCACAACCCTGCACAGCACCGGTGCTGGGTTTGATGCATCCACCCCTTGGGACAGGCGTCAAGGGGACTCGGGCACCGTGCGCTGGGATTGCAGGAAAGCACAGACACCCCCAGGCTTCGGCTGATCATCCCGGCTGCTGGCTTTGGCGCTGGGAAAGGCAGGACCAGGTCTTTCGACACCCAGAATCGCCACGCCTGGTGACTCCCCTGTCCGGCACTGAGCACCGGTGACTCAGAGGCAGTGGCTTTGAGTCTGTGTTTTCGCCAGCCGGTTGCCTTAGAGACAAAAAGGGAAATCCCAAAACACAGGGTTTCTGGGCAACCTGTCCCCTGCCTCCCACGGGGCTGGAGGGGCCCCGACGTCACTGCGCGGGTGATATCCCTGCTGGGGGGACCTCTGAGCTAAACAGAGACTGTGGCATTCCCGCAGGGGTGCCCACCTCGCCTCGGGCTGGGGCAGCGGCATAGGGCAGAGATGAGTCAATGCAACATGCTAGGGGGTGCCAGGCCTTTGCTGTGCAGCAGGGTCCAAAATGCTTCCTTTCACCCTTCTGGGAAGGGGCGGTGGGGACCTTGCCCCCCAGCAGCTCCTGATTCAGCACAGAGGCCGGATCCAGCACCCCAGCCCTGAAGCAGCAGCTGACAGGGAGGGAGCTGCTTGCACGAGATTCAGCTCAGTTTCCTGCTGATGAATCACAGCTCCTGTCCCTTAACGACTGGCGCGGCCGCCCGGCGTTGCCAAAGCAGCTGGGCGAGCTTGGACATGTGTGCAAGCCGCCAGCTCCACGCTTTTGCCTTGGCTGATGTTTCTCACTGCTGCTCAGGGAGCCGGGATCATCTCACCTTCCCCCACCTGTGCTCACCCCTGCATCAGGTCCCAGGTGGCGAATGAGGCTAAAATATAGTGTCAGGGCCGGGGCAGCTAACAAATGCTGCCAGGGCGAGGCAGAGGTTGGAGCCTCCCAGACTGGAGTTTAAACCCCACCTACGTTTGCAGCTGCTCAGGGAAACAATGGCCCCTTTAAGCCATAATGAGGCCTTATAAAACCAGGACACGGGCTCCCGTGCCAGTGGGGTGCTGAGACCAGGGTGGGGCCAGGGGGCACTGAGCCAGGGCCTCCCTGGTGCCATGCAACAGTAAAGCAGCCCCGAAGCTGCTCTAAGAGCTGCCCAGCAGGTAAAGGTGGGGACAGAGGGATTGAGGAGCAACTCCAAGGCGCCCAGATGCTGCGGTGAGGGGCTTGAAAGCAGCAGCAGAGCAACACAGCCCGTCTGGCTGCTATTAAGGATGCTCCTTATTCAGATGGGCGCCCCTCCTGCTCGGGTTTGCTGTTGTCTCTGTGCCAGATGATCCCAGGGCTAGACCTTGCAAAGGGCCCATGAGCTTCTCTCACCACTAGACTCCACAGCCTGCAGAGCCCAGACCCTCTCTCACCCCATCTGAGGGGCAGGGAGGGGAAGCTGACGGCGTGCAGCCCAGGGCAGAGGCCTCACCAATCGTGGGCGCGTTTGGATGTGTTCCTGCCCAGCCAAAAGCTAACTGCAGCACATGCCTGCACGCGGCATGTGCACCCCTGCCCCTGGCTGGGACTCGCGGGCGCCTCACCTGTGTGCCAGGGGCGCATGTGCAGACCCAGCAGGCAGCTGCAGACACACGCCCATGCGGGTGGAGATGCGCCCAGATCACTGCACCAGCAATCCTGTGCTCATGCCCGCGTGCACACATGTGCAGAGCTCCCAGCTGGGCCCAACAGTGTGAATTCACATGTACACCCCCTCATGCACACTCACACACATAGGGATCTCCTCTGCCAAGCTGTGCATACTCACACACACTGCCCCCATATACACTCACATGGATCTCCCCTGACTGCCAAGCTGTGTGCTCACACACACCTCCTTATATACACTCACACACACACAGATCTCCCGACTGCCAAGTTGTGTGCACACATGCACCCCCCATATACACTCACACAGATCTCCCCTAACTGTTAAGCTGTGCACACACACCCCCATACACACTCAGTCACACACACACACACACACACACACACACACACACACACAGATCACCCCGACTGCCAAGCTGTGTGCACACACACACAACCCATACACACTCATACACACACACACACGCTCAGATCTCTGCTTACATCCAAGCACACACACACGCCCACACTCACCCCTTCCCCATTGCAAAAGTGCACTCACATGCACAAAATCTTCCCCCTTGCTGCCACTCTCACGGCCGCACGCGGTCTCACACGCACATCATGGGCTGGGACTCCCTTGTGGCTCATGTCCCGGGAGCCGGCTGCTTCTTGGCTTCCCCCTAGAAGACTCTGGCCTCTTGCCCCTGGGAGGAACAAGCCCCTTCACGCCCTGGCTTCACAAGTAAGTCCTGTGCCCCCCACGTCGCCATTTCCAGCTCAGTCCTGTGCCCTTGCTCTCCTTGTCCCCTGCCCTGGGGTCCCGCTGGGGGAGAGCTCCTAGCCTCTGCAAAGCCTTGGGGGTGGCTGGGAAACAGGGTAAAGCTCCCAGATACCAAGCAGCGGGGATCTACCCGCCAGGGACCGGTTCCCCCAGCAAGCATGAGCAACAGCACCATCTAGTGTGCGATGCCGGCAGCACCCCAGGGTGCCGCTGATGCCACACACCACCCCGAATCCAGTCCCTGCTGCCCCTTCCCTGGGGTCCTCACTGAGGCCAGAAAGGACCTCTCCGATACCCTCTCCCCTTCCCAAGTGCAACCAGCCCCTGGCATGGGATAAGCATGCACCCCCTCATGACACGCATGTGCAAATTCACACCCACATTTGTGCCCAGAGAAGGCTGCAAGGGGGGAAAAAACCCACCCACTGACCTCTGGTTGTCGCTAGCAGGCAGGTCTGTACAGTGCTGCCTTCAGCACTGGGGAAACTGAGGCAGCGAGGGAGGTAACAGCTGGGAGCTGAGGTTGGAGCTGGGGGCTGGTTGCCAGCCCACGTGCGGGGAGGGTTCTGACTCAGCACCATGAGGCCTGGGTCTGGATGGGGTCCCAGACCCTCCCCGCAACCATCGCCATTGCCAGCCTTCTCCTTTCACTAGCGAGTGCGCCATGTCCTGGGTTCATGCACCCCCTAGTGGCCACCCAGTGCCCCAACACCCCCAGGCTGGAGCAGCTTCCCACCCCAGTTCCCTCCAGTATATCCCAGTGCAAAGCCCCTGCGGGGCGCTGAGCCCTGCTCTTTATTAGCCCCTTTTGTGCCTCAGTTTCCCCACCAATGACACTGACTGTGGGGGAAGCCGGCTGAATATTCTCCGGGTTTTCTACCTCTCTCTTCCCTGGAAAGGGATTCTGCGTCCCGAGCCCTGCTGCTGCCAAGGCAGGGAGGCAGGGCTGAGCTGCAAGTGTCGGGGGCCGGGATCTCCAGGCCTCTCTGGTTACCACGAAACCAGATCCCTGGCACGGCAGGCCGGCCCACGCACCAACTGGCAGGCATGGCGGGTGCCACACGGCAGGCTGCTGCTGGCAGGGCGCTGGTAATGCAGCCAGGACAGAGCCGTGCACCCCCCACGTGCTTCTGGGGGTCCCCAAAGCAGAGCAGGGGAGCAGAGAAAACCCCCCTGCCTCCCAGGTAGGGGTGCCAGGAGGGATTTGCTAGCCACCTGAAAACCCAAGTCGCAGCCCCAGAGCTCAAGGAGTATCCCCATCAGTATAGGTGCCGTGACATACAGTTGAGCAGTTCTGAGTCTGGCCAACAGGAGGCAGCACCATGCATCTATACATGCATGCACACACATGCCAAGCTCATTGCCGCTCCGGTGCCCCCTCCACGGTTTGGCCACGTGCAGCTATATGAAGGAAACCAGCACAATAGAATGGAGGGGGAATTTGAACCCAGGGCGTGAGGCACATTTCCCAGCAAGCCCAGTGCAACGAACCACAGGCTGCAGACTGACTGGTCTCAGACACCCACCTCCCTCCCTCCCTCCCATCAGGGACCCTGTGTGGTAGGTGCTGTATGTCCCAAGAGCAACAGGCACAGTTGGATGAAGCCCAGCCCAGTGTTCTCCCCGTTGTTGCAGCTGCAAAACTGAGGCCCCAAGTGTCTAACTCAGCAGCACTCCACCTCAGAACTGGCTGCATCTCTGGGGTAGCACTGGGGTCTGAGTTTGGATGTGGATGCAGCTTGTGAGGCATTAAACTCACACCAGCAGCTCCACTGCCATGTCCCCAAGCCTTAACCCATGCCAGGTGGGAGCAGATGGGCAGAGGGGGGGCATCGGAGAGTCCCATGAGGAGCAAGACTTCCCCTTGCTGATGCCTACCCAGGCCCTGGCCCTGGGAAAGCTTTGCAGCAGCCCCCTGCTTTGTTCCTAAATCGAATCCATCTGGTCCTGACCATGCCAGTTATTTGAGATCCCTCTTGCAGAGGAGCTGAAATGAGCTGCTGGGCATGAAGTTGGGAGGTTCCCCCCGCTGCAGCACCCCCCCACCATCCCATCCCTCCCTTTCCTTTGTGCTCCTCCTCAACGGGCCAGGGGCCACATGGGCTCTTAAGGCGGCTTTTGTGCTGCCAGCAGCCGGGCGGGGGTCCCCGCGGGACCATTACACCACCGAGCTCCCCAGCAAGGCGCGTCTAGACAATAATTGCGTGCACCTGACTCGGGAGGAAACCAAGAGCCCGGAGCCCTCCAGGCCGCGGCCCCCAGGAGGGCGCGGGGCTGGAGAGGGAATAAAGGCCTTTGTTTCCAGCTCCTTTCCAAACACCTGTCGCTAGCGGAGGGGGGCAGGGAGGGGTAAGAAGAGGCTGGGTGTAAGGAGCCCCCCCCAGCTGGTGTCAATTAGCATTGCTGCTCTGGGGTGACTCTGTTTTACCCTGGCTGCATCCGGGCTCCCAGGATTCCCGGTTACCCCATTTCTGAGCTGGCGGTGAGTGGGGGTGGAAGCAGCTCCAAGCTATCGGGGTCCGTACCCAGCCCTCGGTGCCAGCACAGAGCAGCCTCAAGACTGCTCTAAAGTGTGTGCTGCCCCCCATAGGCGATGCAACCCCTTGTAGGGGTATCTGGGGCCAGCCCCCCCATGGGCCTGCCTTTGCCTTGCATCTGATGCCAGCCTACCAGGCAGCAGCTGCCTCTGCCTGCTCCCTTGGCACCAGGTGCCTGGCCCTGCCAGCTGCTCCCCCGACCAGCGTCTCCCCCCTACCCCACAGGGATAGGCATGGGGGGTGTCTGTCTCGATGCCCTGGTGCCAGCAGAGATGCCAATTAGCACAACAGCTTGTTTTTGAAGCAACGCTGGGCAGAGGCTCGGGTTCAATCCTCCTGGGATTTCCAGGGCATTGGTTTCCTTTCCAGGCTCTGTCACTCCCTCCTGCCTCCTGACCCTGCTCCCGAGAGCCCTGGAGACCTGCTGTCCCGTCTCAGGGCACCTGTGTCCAGGCACCCCCCCACGACAGACCCACAGCACTGGAGCCCTACAGGCACATGGGGTCGGGCTGGACATGGGCATGGAGGCGGGGGATCCTCTGTGGATCAGGCACCAGGCTGGGATAAAGGAGATTTCCCTTGGCAAATCCCCTGTGGCCTGGTCCAGAGCTGTGTGGCTTTCCCTGGATGTTTGAGGGCTCTGGGTGAGCCCCTCATGCCCCGGCTGTTCATGCAGCACCTGGCACGATCCGGCTCAGCTGGGGTCCCTCGATGCTGCCCATCAGCTTTCCACCCAAACATCTCCCAGCACTAGGCAGCTGTGCCCACCACCCCTGCCTCATGGGTCCCCAAATAACACAGATGTCCAGAGCTCGGGGGTACAAAGAACAGCTCCCGTCCATGTCTCACCACTCCCTGGTGCTTAGACCACAACTCTCCTGACCCCTCTCTGTGTTATTTCATACAGCGCCCGGCGCCACGGGGAACCTGGACCAGGTCCTGGCGTACTTAGCTCTGCCATGGCATGCAGCAGCCTTCGCTTTGCTCTCCCTTTGCTGAGTGAGGCCCCAGCCAGACTCTCCAAGGGGACAAACTTGAGGCTGAGGGTCTTGAAAAGCAGGGGGAAAGGGTGCTCAGAGAGCCCGGATGCCTGGGTTCTTTTCCCAGTCCTGCAAAAGGCAGCTCCCTCGCCAACCTCCCCGTTCGATGCCAGCCCCTCCCGTCACGCCAGGTGCCTACCTGTCACATGAAGCTGAAGCCACTGTCAGGGAGCAAAACACTGGCACCGGCTCCCCTGCCGACAGCTGACGGGCTGCATCGCTGCGGCCCCCAGCTGCGCTCCTGGCAGTGCCTGCCTGGCTCTCTGCCCCTCCATGGCTATAGCAGCAAACCAAGAGGCTCGGGGCAGCTCCCACGACATGGCAGACATCTGTAAGCTGTCGTGCCATGGATCCAGAGCTGGTATCACCAGGGGCACGGGGCTAGGTATCTCCAGGAAGAGCAGGCTGCTGGGGATCCTGGCTCCCAATCTCTTCCACTGCTGGACTAGGAGACAAAAGCAAGAAGCATCAGAGTCCATGGCATCAATGCAATGAACTGGCAGTAGCCTCCCACCTGGGATCTCACCCCAAGTTCAGGCTGGTTGGTCTACGATCCACCCCAGATGGTGGGATCGTGATGCGATCAGGATGGGGAAACTGAGGCAGAGTGGGCACTCAGTTCATCCCTGGTCGCAATAGAAGCACCCAGTTCTGCCTCCTCCATGCCTGGCTCTAACCACTGGGGCATCCCTACCAGAGCCCCAAAAGGAGCCAGGCATCCCAACACCTCTCCCCCGTGCCCCAATCATGGTCTCCCACTTGCCCCCATAAATGGGGACAGAACCCAGGCGTCCTGACACCCAGGCCCAGAGCACTCGAGTGTGCCAGACCCAGGAGGGGCCATGAAAGAAGGGGCCTTTGAAATGACACAGGGCAAAGCTTCCAGCTCCAGCCAGTCCCATGCCCAGAGCCACCCCACGGCCTGGGGTCCCGGGCAGTTCTGGTGGGCAGAGATCAGCTGCTGGCAAGGGGCACAGCTCCCCTGCAGACAGCTGTCCAGATGCCAAGGGAGCTGGGATTTCACATGGACCCAAGCAACAAGGGACCCCCTCCAGAGACGGAGGGGGTCCCTTGCACGGGGGGGGGCGTGTCTTGGCACAGCAGGGGCCCCCAGGACCAGTTCACCCTGCAACAGCAGTATTTAGGCTGGAAATATTTGGGTTGTGGGGGGACTGGATCCTGTGTACATGTGTGTATGCACACGAGTGTGTGTGTGTGTGAAGCTGTGAGTGCCCTGCGTCGCTACGGAAACAAACACCCAAAAGCTCAAATGAATAATAATTAACGTGATAAATGAAATCATAATAAACACATCAATAATGCATGCTAATTGGCAATGAATAATGAATGCGCAGAAGAGCAGGGCCTGGGCACCCCCCTGGGCCTTGTCCCTGGGGCAGGGGTCTGTAGATGGGGGCAGAGGCAGCCTGGGGAGGGGGACAGGCATGTGACAGGCCCTGCATTCGCTACGCTGAGGCCAGAAGCTTAGCAGGCTTCGGTGAGGGATCAGAGGCTGATCTGGATAACGAGAGCATCTGGGCTGGTCCTAGGAAGGGTTAAACAGGCTCAGGGCCAGATCCTGCCTGGATCAGCTTCCAGGGGGGAAAAAAAATAAGCCTCAAGGATGGCTGCATATTGCAAAGAGACACGACCGTGCAAGGAGACACATGAGTACGTGAGAGAAAGGTGCTGAAGGCTCCGGCCACGGGGCCCGGACCATGCAAGAGGGGTGAGATCAGTCAGGCACAGCCCTCAGGGGCCAAGTCATCCTTTCACTGCTTTGTCACAGGCCTTTTCCTGGAAGCAGCGAGTCCCTCGCAGCCCTGACTGCCAGGAATAGGTGGCGGAGGCCTGGAGCGCAGGCTGAGCACATGCCAGGTGCTAGAGAGGATAATCGCAGCTCGTCTATGGAGGGATGGACCAGGAGCGCAACTGCAAATTAAATACTGGTATACGAGCCATGACAGGGGCAGAAGAAACCCCCCAGAGACCTGTCGATTCTCTAAATTCCCCTTTCCTATCCCCGGATGGATTCCCCATGGCGTGGACACACTGGCTCTCTGTATCCTCATCTAGGGTGCTCAACCTCAGGTCCACGGGCCAGATCCAGCCAGGTGAACCAGAGCTCCTTGCCGGTCTGGAAAGTGGGTGGTGATGGGGCAGTGGGAGCAATAATGGCCGCTCCAAGGTTTTCAGACCCTTGGGGATCCTTGCGGGCCGGAGAGTGTGGCTCTGCATGCTGCATTGCATCAGCATGCGGCTGGATCTGGGCATGCGGGATCACACCCACACACTGACTCCAAATGAGATGCAGCCCCAGGGACCAACCCCTTGCTATTCATCTGGCCAGTGTGGCCAGGAGTTTGGAGGCCACTGCTTTAGACACATCTGCAAGGGTGTGAAAGGGGTGTGCAAGGCCACCGGGCAGGTGAGGAAGAGGGGAACAACTGCAAAGAACCAGGGGAACTGGAAAGGATATTACCATGTGCAGGCAGACAGCATCCAAAGGCTGGGACTGAGACCGGGGGCTGGCGATCTGGGCACTGAACAGGACTCATGAAAGATGGGCAGAGCTGACCACATCAGTCTGGAAGAGAAGAGGGGGAAAGGACAGTCTCAGCCATCCCAGGCTCCTGCCCCCCAGGCCTGCCAGTGCCAAGAAGCCAGAAAAGTAGCTTCCATCCATGCCTAGGGCAGAGCAGAAAGGAGACGCAGACCTGGGGCGATCAAGGCAGCACCTAGCATGAGCTCACCAGGTCTGGCCACAGGGCGCTGCCTGCCCCGGCTGCCTTCTCCAGCACAAGCCACATACCTGACCATTTTGGGAAGGCTAATTGGTACAATTGAGGGACAGCACCAATTAGCCACCCGCCTGCTAATTAGCACAACCTGCAGGGTTTGCAAGGCAGGTGGAGGAGAAGTTTGCCACATCGCTCGGGGGACAGCTAGGATTCACTCCAGCCCAGCAGCCCAGGGCTTTAATCACAGAGCCAATATAAGCAATATGGCCCTGGCTACCTGTTGGCTGCAGTGTGTGTGTGTGTGATATGGCAGGACTCCCTTCCCCCCTGTTCCCAAACACCTTTCTTTTTTTTTTTTCCAGCCCTGCAATCAGAGCTGCCGTCTGGCTACTTAACCCCTCGTGGCCCACAGCCGGGAGGCACTCAGAGAAATCAATACCGCGCTCAGATTAGCTTCCCCGCGCTCATATATTCCCTCCCCAGACAGGGCGCCTGTCTCCCTGCCGCCCCTCGAATAAATCACGCCGCTCTGCCCGCCCCAGCCCCCTTCCTCCCGATCTCCTTGGAGGATCTCCACTTTCCTGCTCCTGATAGACAGGGAGATCCTTGGGCTTTGTGGATTAGTATAACTAGGCCACATGGCTCGGAGTATAAAAGCAGGGGGAAAATAAGGCTGGAGGGGCCCTGAGGCTTGTTCAAGGCTGGGTAAATACAGACAGGCAGAGTGACTTATTCCCAGGCTCCTGTCATGGGTCTAGCATCTTGGCCACACAACCTCTCCCCAGGTGGATGGAGAAGCTGTTTCATTTCTATCCTGGCCCTCCATACACGCTCAGTCCTTGCTGTCTCAGGGCAGGTGGGCTGTGCCTCCCTGAAATGAGTCTACTAGGTCTAGGTTTAATTTCTGGTCCATGCAACCACCCACATCCTAGACTCCCTTGATAGCAAAGAGGCTGAAAAATGAATGGGCCGTGGGGAGAAAACACCCTTAAAAGGAGCGGGTCTCTGTATGAGGCAGAGTTATAATCTCTTGGCATAAACGCACGTGACTGATCTCCCCCTGGGGTGAGAGGCTGTGACTTCTTGCCGCAGAGCCCAGCCTGGATGCTGGCAGGAATGGCAGCAAGCAGAGGGTACAGGCATTACGGATGCGACAGGAGTAGGAGAAGTGTAAACACCCAGGCGGCCTGGACATGGGCTCCCACCCGGCTGGGAAGGGAGAGTGAAACAGGGATCAAGGCAGCTGCGTGGGGATTCACAAGCAAGTCCCAGCCCCAAGGCTACCTGTGCCTGCTCGTCTGAATCTGACCAGAATTGGAGTCACTGGTGTCTCCATCACAGTGGATCTCAACCTTTTAAGACCCCTTCATTAGACCCCAGGCCCCCCTTGGAAAACCCAAGCTCCTCGTTTTCACTCATTTCTTGACTACAGAAAATGAACAGAGAACTTTTCTGTTGCAAAAAACTCAGCAAGCCCATAGCAGGGCAGCATGGTTTGGACACTGGATTCCTACTACAAATCGCTGGGTGGATCTTGGGAATTGTGCACATCTCACTGTGCTAATACTGCATGGCCAGCCTGAACGGGATGTCCCAGCACTGCACCCCGCTGCGGTGACAGACATTATAATTTAGAGACACTTCCCTAACAGGAGGCTGAGGGAGCTGGGAACTGGGAGATGGTCCCTTAGTTGGGGAGCAGCTAGTTAGAAAGAAACCAAGGGTCTGCAGAGGTTGCCTCCAGCTCCACAATGAAGATCATTCTTCTCATCGACGTACGCTTGGGTAGACTTACCCTGGTGATGACGACACCCACCCTTGTTGGATCTTCCCGGAGACTCAGGCCCCAGCTGTCCCAGGGCTTAGTCCCCCACCCTGCAAACAGAGCCAGCCAGAAGCATTTGGCCCCAGCAGCAGCCCTGGAGACCCCAGAGCTTATCTGACATGCTCAGCATCCACCCTGCGTGCACTGGAAGCATCCAGCTCTACAGAAAACAGCTCTTCTTTGGAAGGACGAGATTTATTTAAAAAAACAAACAAACCAACAACCCTAGTCTTTATGGCCTAATCCCAAACCCAGGCAAGTTAATGGACTGCAGCAGAGCTTTGGATCAGGTCACATTTCCTCGTCTCACAGAGGGGCTTAATTAATGAATGTCCGTAAAGCACTTGGAGATTCTCGGTAGGGAAGCATGATATCTATCGCTCTCTGTCCATGCTAGGAAGCGAATAGGTTTAGGATCAATACACAGCAAATGAATGGGAGCAACGGTCGGTGCTACAGATGGGGGTATCACTTTGCGCCCCTGGGTGGACAGTCAGAGGTAGGCTGAAGCTAGGATCCGAAAGCATGAGATGCGGCAGCTGGAACTAAAAGACCTTCCTGCTTTGCTAGCCAAGGGGCGCGTCTATATGAGAAGCTTGCTGCACATTAACCTAATAAGACTGCGCAGTAGCATGGCGGTTAAAAACTGTGCTAATAGCCTAATGCGCAGTCTTATTAGGCTAATGCGCAGTAAACATCACAAAATAACTTTAGTTACTGCACGTTTAGTTAGTATTCCTACTTGCTAAACAAAGTACTAACTACTTCATTCTAAGAAGCATCAATGAACATGTAGACACGCCCAAGGTGTATCAACCTCCGTCAGAAAACAATGCAACCGAGAAGCAGCCTGCAAAGACCTACGCTTGCTGCAACATTACGGCTGGCTGAGAGTGACCGGTCCCTGCGCCAAACATCAAGCGAACCCCTCATTAAGCTTCTGGAAATACAGCATTGAGGTGTATTTCTAGTCTTGGTGGTAGAACAGCATGATTCATGGCCATCTCACTATACCCATGGATGGAGGATGCCAGATTTCCTTTGCAAGCACTCCTGAACCCTCTCTCACAGCTCTCCTCTGTCCAAGACCCTTTCTCAATACACGTGGGTTTCAGAGCACTTTGATTAGTAAGACTTTGTGGGGGGGAAGAGGCTAGATCTGAGGGACCCTTTAACCGTAGGCACTGCTCAGGGTCACATCCAAATGATCTTCAAATAGCAAACTATGTCTGTCAAGAGTTGGGCCAGGACTGGGATTTTAACAAGAGTGAACAACAGGCCACAAACACCCTGGTGTTGGGGAAAAAGGGGGCTTATACAACATTTATTGTTTGGTTTTCTAGAGGGGCCTGTGAAGGTGGAATAGCAGGTGAGGTTTGTCATCACCATTTTTAAAAGGACTGTGAGACTCAACCTTTTTCGAGTGGCTAACATTTTTGCTGCAGCCAATTTCCAAAGCGATACAGCATTTGGAGAGGTAGAGGGGAGAGGTGTGAGGCTTTAACTGGAGGAATTACAGGACAGCGTTGAAATCTGTTTTCTGGACCTAATTTTCCCAAGAAACATACGCTGCCGTTTGGATGGATGATGGGGTCCTGGCATCACGTCACTCAGAGTCAACTTTAGACATGGGTCAGAACGGCGCCCCTTAATATGGGTGCATTCATGGATTCCCAAAAACCCCTGTGATGGAGCTACCATTAGTGACAATCACAGGGCCTTGCTTTTCTTTGATCCCATTCAGTGTCATTGCCCAGGGAGGGGACGAGAAGCATGTGATTATCTCAGAATCACAGACAAGGAGGGTGGGAAGGGACCTCAGGAGGTCACATCTAGTCCAACCCCCTGCTCAAAGGAGGTTCAGCCCCAACTAGACCATCCCAGCCAAGGCTTTGTCAAGCTGGGCCTTAAAAACCTCCAAAGATGGAAACTCCACCACCTCTCTGGGGAGCCTGTTTCAGTGCTTCACCACCCTCTTAGTGAGAAAGTTTTTCCTAATATTCAACCTAAACTTCTCTTGCTGCAACTGGAGCCTGTTGCTTCTTGTTCTGCCATCTGCCACCACTGAGATCAGTCCAGCTCCATCTTCTTTGGAGCCACCCTGCAGGGAGATGAAGGCTGCTATTCAATCCCCACTTGGTCTTCTCTTCTCCAGACTAAATAAGCCCAGGTCCCTCAGCCTCTCCACACAAGTCATGAGCCCCAGAACCATTTTCATTGCCCTCCGCTGGACTCTCTCCAACTCATCCACATCCTTTCTGTAGTGGGGGCCCCACAACTGGACAAAGGACTCCAGATGTGGCCTCACCAGTGCCGAATAGAGGGGAAGAATCACTGCCCTCGATCTGCCAGCAACACACCTACTCATGCAGCAATGCTCCTACTACTGCAATCTTGCCCCCATCCCTGCTGCTTCCTGGAGTCTGCCACCATCTTAATTTGGAATTAGCGATTTGATTGACTGTACCTCTAAATCCGGCTGTCTGAATCTGCATGTAGATCTTCAAGTTCCCATAGCACCCATGCAAGGATGCAATACATATAACGCACCTGCTCAGAAAGATCCTCATGTGAAAACTAGAACTCATGGTGCACAACGGTCCTGTCTTGAGCTGCAGTTTTGCTTTCCGCCCCAGATGCCTGCAGATATTCTGGTTTCAACAGAGGCCCAGCCTCGCCACAAATGACTTTCTTTGCCAGCTTTAAACCTGAATAACTCTAGAGATCTTGCGCCCACCCCAGACCCCAGGGGTGTCAGGCAGCAGGAGGAATTGACCCAAGCAGGTGGGTAGAGTCTGAGTTATTAATTAAGCCCCAGAAAACAGAACTGCAAGAGGGTGATGTCACATTATATTTTTTAGCAGGGCAGTCTCATGGGACAGCCTTATTCCAATGACTGCAAATTAGGAACACAAGCCAGACCTCCCCCTGCATGCTGGCTCTCGGGACTATACAAATAACCACCTAGGTTTTACGGCACTTGGGAAGATGAGTCATTAAGCCACGAGTTGGTCTCAACCT